TATGTATGTATGTATGTATGTATGTATGTATGTATGTATGTATGTATGTATGTATGTATGTATATATATATATATACGTTTCTGTTAAAAACAGGAACTTTCTCAGTGACTTCCTGTTTGCAGGTGACATCTTTGCCTCCTTTTTTGGTTCCAAGTTCAGCAGAGCGAGCTGGAGATAATAAAGACACGCGAGGAGTTCGGTTAAAGAAGTGTGTAGACTGTGGATTGTCTGCCTTCCTCGGGAAGTGTTAGATTCGGATTTATTGGGTTAGATCAGGCCGTCTGTGTGGGTCTGTGTGTCGGCAGGACAAAGCTGCGGTTCTTCGCTCTACGCGCGTCAACGGAATCCCGTAGTGCGTCATCGCGCACAGCACGCGCTCTGATTGGCTGCGTGTTGGAAACCTCTCTGGCGTCATGGGCACTGAAAAGCGAAGAATAAAGCGAGCGGCGGAGAGGAGAGAGCGCAGGGACTGGCACTCAGCTGAAGACTCGGAGGATGACAGATGGTCGATGGTAGACTGCAGACACGACCACTCACTGACAGGTAAGACAAGTGGACTTTCACCACAGCACGTTTAGAGGTTTAAAATAAAATATATATAAAACAGCTCTTTTAATAGTCAAATGTTCGACTTGTGATAGATTTTAATCAGCAGATGAAGCGTTTTCGTCTTGTGTGGGAAACTTTGAATTGTGCCAACCTGTTGAGCTCCTGAGCCTGAGTTGGAGACAATCCCTCTGCAGGCTGCAGGAGTTTCYATATTTGCTGTCAGAATAACAGGGAGGACATGATGGAAGATAAGACGAGGAGCGTTTGACTTTCCAGGTTTTCTCCGAACCGAATGAGGAGACATACTATTCAAAGTAATGCAAGGAAGTCACAGCAGGAGCTTCCCTGCAAAATTACAAGTTCATAGAGTGGAGTAGAATTAATAGGAAAGTAGATAATTAAAATACTAAAAAGGAAAACATTTATTAAAAAACTATTCATGAATAATCAAACAGACTAGTTGAAAATCAGTCAAGTTTTTATGAGAACATACATAACTAATGCAACATGTGAGTATCAGTCACATGGAGGCAGGGCTTAAAAGCCTGAATTTTGCCTGAAACTCTCAGACTGAAGAAGTCTCTTGGAGGAGAGACGAAACGTTTCATTAGAGAAGAACCCGTCCAGAAGACCTATACAATTTTTTTTTCCTTTTAATGCAACATGGTTCTCAAATGGATCATATTAACAAAGAGTGTGGCTTGATTTGGGTTCATTTGTGTATAAATACTTAATTTTATTTGGAAGGGACAATACACATTAACTGACATTTCTGTAAATGACCAGATGGCTGTTCTTCATCTGTTGTCCCTTAAGAAACCTTTCACACTGATGTACAGAGGTGAAACAAGGACAAAAGCTCAGTTCAAGACAGTTTTCTTCTCATATTAAAACCTTTTCTAAAAACAATGAACAAAACCTTTTTTTCCCCTGCTCTTTCTCAGTTTTGCAGCCATGACGTGCATACACGCCCAGTGCGGCCCTCCGTTCTACGAGAGCAGCATGAACAGCCCGGAGCTCCAGAGCTCAGACTTCTTCTCCAGGCTGACTGCGGACCCCAGCAGCAGCCCGCGGGACCACCTCTCTGCACCGTCCCTGCCGAGCATCGGCTCCCTGGTGGGCACACCCGCGGGAGACTTTGAAGCGTACTCGTGCCAGTTCACTACAGCCCCAGCTCATGTGACCCCCGCCTCGGGCCAGAAGAGCCCCTACCCGCTGGATGAACCCCAGGTTTACGGCTGTTACACGGGACCGTTTATGCTGAGCTATCTGGACGAGGCCAGTGGGTCGGACTATTTTGGCAGCCCAGCTTCGGTCTCATCGCCTTCGACGCCCGGTTACCAGACTCAGCACGTGTCTAACTGGGATTCAGCCTACGGGTCGTACTCAACCAGTCCTGGGTTCTGGATGCCCGAGGACACCTCTGTACGGCACGCACCGTCTTTTTTCACGTTCGAGTCAGGATGTGTGGAGGACGTGCCTCATTTGGGTCAACCGCTTTTGCGAGAGCAGGAATGTTTTGCTGTGGCCCATCCTCACGCCTTGACCTTCCCCTCCACTGCGATGGAGCAGGCACATGGTGGTCTTGATGGCCCCAAACAGCTGGATGGAAGCTCATCGCCCAAGTTAAAGAGTGGAAGTGAGGGCAGCTGTGCTGTGTGTGGAGACCACGCCTCCTGTCAGCACTATGGGGTTCGCACCTGTGAGGGCTGCAAAGGCTTTTTCAAGGTAATAGGATGGGCATTTTTGTATTAAAGCAATGTTTTTATACCACATTTCCACTGAMGTTTACACCAAATGCTCTTTTTTTATTTTTTACAGCGCACTGTCCAGAAAAATTCCAAATATGTCTGCCTCGCCAACAAAGACTGTCCTGTGGACAAGAAGAGGCGAAACCGGTGCCAGTTCTGCCGCTTCCAGAAGTGTCTGACAGTGGGGATGGTCAAAGAAGGTGAGCAACTTATATGGTATTTAATTTGGGTGTTTTATCTGCGAGACCAGTTCAGTTCTTTATAATCTGAAGTAAACAAGAYGAGGACTCTATTTTTTAGTAAATGTCATACAAGTTTAAAATAAGCCATGATTTTGAGCTTTGAAAACCAAACATTTGGGGCATTTTACTGATTCAGACTCATTACAGAGGCTTCAGGTGAAGATATTACAGTAACACCCTTTTATTGTTTCCAGTTGTCAGAACAGACAGTCTGAAAGGACGAAGGGGTCGTCTGCCTTCGAAGCCTAAAGTTGTCCGAGACGTGACAACCGCTGCGTCTCCGATGAGCCTGATCTCTTCTCTTCTGAGGGCCCACGTTGAGTCCAATCCCTGCGACATGTCTCTGGATTATTCTAAGGTGAAAAGAAACTGAACTCCATTAATTTTTACAGTGTCTTTTAATTAATGATAAATACGTATTTGTTTTTAAACATCTGTTTGGTTTGTTGTTTCAGTATTTTGAAAAAGAGGTCAGCTTAAACCWGAAGGAGGCTGTTGGCGACATCAGACAGTTTTACGACCTCCTCACGGCCTCCTTTGAGGTCATCAGGAAGTGGKCGAAGGATGTCCCGGGTTTCTCCGATTTCTGCTCAGCGGATCAGGAACTCCTGCTGGAATCTGCATTAGTTGAACTCTTCATCCTGCGTCTTGCATACCGGTGACTGCAACTTCTTGACATGTTTTCAAAAGTCATATAACACACAGAGCGTGTGTACAACTTATAATTTGACAAAAAAAATCAACAATTTGCATTTGTTTCTTTTTCCAGGTCTGATCCTGAAGTGAAGAAGCTCATCTTCTGCGACGGCACCGTACTCCACAGAACTCAATGCGTCCGAGGTTTCGGGGACTGGATCGACTCTATCTTGGAGTTTTCTCGAAGTCTTCACCGWATGAAGCTGAGCGACTCCTCCTTCGTCTGTCTCACGGCTCTGGTCACGATCACTGGTGAGCTAATTCATGTCAGGTTTAACACGGTCCGTTTTTCATTCAAGCAAGCTTTAGATTTCATTAGTCATTACACAACACAGGGCTGAAACAACAGGTGCATGGCAGGATGTAACAGGAGATCATCCATAATGAGAGAGAGAAGGTTGATAGGCAGAACTAACTGTTTTTGATAAGCAGAGTCAAGTTTTCAAGTTAATTCAGGACAGAAAGGATTAAATCATTGCACTTATTGAAAACCAGTTTATTGGTTTTTAAAAAGATGGAAAAATCTAAGCACGTTTGTCATTWCTCTCTGCAGACAGACATGGTCTTAAGGAGCCGAGACGTGTGGAGGACTTGCAGAGCCAGCTCATCACCTGCCTTAAAGACCAGGTTTCCGGCTGTGGCTCCGAGTTCCTGCAGCCCAACTACCTGTCCAGACTTCTGGGGAAGCTGCCCGAGCTCAGGACTCTGTGCACRCAAGGCCTGCAGCGCCTTTTTTACCTGAAACTGGAGAACCTCGTWCCGCAGCCCCCGATCGTGGAGAAAATCTTAATGGACACGCTACCGTTTTGAAGGCGGACGGTGCAACGTGGAGCATCTGTGAAACGGAAATCTGGAGCTTCTTTGGGAGCCAAAAGGAAAAAGACTTGGTGCTCGTGCTCCAGATGAACAAAGCGAAACTGCAAAGTTGTGAAGATGTACTTCTGAGTTAGAAGGTTTGCTATAGATAGAGTATCTGGATGCAGTAAACAATTCTCATCTTAGCTGACTTTCTGGAAAACTGTAGTCTGGAGTTAGAAAGGCCCGGGAAGGACCACACTGATTCAACACGCCGTGAATAGAACCACTGATGGAGGGAAAATGACTCCTGCTACTAATGATTTGACCACAAACAATATCTGAACCTTTTTTGTATAAATGCATAACACAAGTACACACCTGGTATTTACAGGAACTGGGCTGTGTTATGAAGCGACTTGTTACCCTGTACTAAGTGCCACATACATACCAAGCAAATTCTACGTAATTACCAGGCTCTATTATGTGTTGCTACCCTGGTTTTTCACCTGAAACAGTATAAAACATTTATTTTTATGTGATTATGTGAAGCTCAAGTATCAAAAATATGKCAGTTCCTAGATTAAATTATGTTGAACTCAGTAAATCATTTGACAGAACCAAACTGCAGCCTTTCCCCTCATCAACACGAGGTACAAGTCACTCAAAAGTCAYTCACACTGTATCGTTTTTGCCACCATCACAGCTTGGTGATAAGTAGGTTAAACCTACAGTTATTCAGTGGTATCGTTCATGTATCATGAATCAGCATTGAGCAGCTAATATACTGTGTATTATCCAGTACAGTCTTACACACTGGTCTTGTTTGTAAATGATGATAAATCTGTATTAAAACCTGAAGGTGCTTTGACACGTGAACTGCATCCCACAGTGTAGGGACATTTTGTTGTGTGCTTGTTATTTTTACATACTGTGATGAATCTTTATCGCCAAAATTGAAATAAATTTTTTAAAAACGCACATTTTAAAACATTTGTCATTCTGAAATATTTTTGGGGGGTAAAAATATTGAATTATGCGTTTGAGATTTGATCATTTTTAATAATAAGGCCTATAGCATTCCTTGAAGCAATGCACATCACTCTGCCAACTTTTATGCCTGAGTTTTCAACTACTCAAAAAGATGGAATTTTAGCCTTTTTGGTCAAATTTTTAAAAAATAACCGTAGAAACATTGTTAGCTAACACACTAAATATTATCTAAGCAGATTACATTAGACTGCATCTATTGCAAACTGAGTTTTAAATGTACGTTCAATAAGTTTCAATAAAATCTATTTAGTGGTTCATGATATACTTTGTCAACCAACAAGACAGACATAGCCTACACACGAGCAATTACACAACTGCCTGCCTTCATGGGAGTGAAATATAATGATGTCTTCATCAGTGTATACGAGCTTGGAAACAGGGCAGAGAATCGTCCTGTCCCAACAGCTTATAACCCTCGGTCAAGTACAGCTTCTTCTTTGGCAATACATCAAAACACGCTGCTATAAAAAAAAAACGCTGCCCCTTCCCACCAACATAGTTATGTGCTGGTCTCTTTTTAGAAAGGCGATGGAACTCCCAGCCCAGTCTCAAATAACCCACACCACTCACATGAATGCCTGCATGTGTGGTATCACATGAATGGACACCTCATGGTGCTGGTAGTATTGTTTGGGGCAGTTAAGGTTGTTTCCAGTGAGAACCAACAATACGCTGTAATGAACCTAAGCAGAGATCAGAAATGAGCAATGACTAAATCAGAAATAGGAGTAAGAGCAGAGCAGAAAGAGATGGTCAAAAAGAAGAAACAAGTAGGTCCTCTGGACGAGTTTGTCTCTCCTCCTTCAGTCCAAGGAGTTTCAGGTGAACTCAGCCTTATAAGCAGAGAACCACCCGTCCAGAGGACCTGCTTATTTTCAGTGTGCATTGCATTGGCAATGCACACTATTGTGATTCGTTCCCCATCCAAGTCATCCTCTATTTCAGCATGCTTCTCCTCCTACATACTTTGTCCTAGAGCTGCCATTGTAATTTGTATCTATAAAGTTCCTGTGCCAAATGCAGGCTATGCTTTTTGGTGCCTGTACAACTTGTAGTTTTTGAAAAATTTATTTTTAAACTTTATTAATGGGTGTCAATAGAGCCTTGTATTGGTACAATACTGCCCCTGATTTATGTGCTCAGCTTGCTACTGCACCATACTTTAATAATATTTAAATTCAGTACTTCAGTGATTACAATACTAATTTCTTTGTATTTTAATGTTTTACTAAAATATTGTCTTGTAAGCATTTACATCTTATATAATATTGCTTTATTGTTATAATATATTGCAGTTTTGTGTCAACGATCATCATTGGCAATGTTGCCTTTTTCTACACAAAGAAAAAACCACTGGGACTGTGCTTTCACACAGCTCCAACGGTCTCATGGTTAATGTCATGGACTTTCATGTGGGAGATCAGGATTCAAAACCCAGCTAAAGAAACTTTAACTAAAATTCTCTTCAAACTTCATATTGTCACACAATTACCCTGATTACAAACACCTGCTGACTTGACAAGCACAAGATGGTATAGAAATCACATTTGAACTTGCTCACAGCTCATTCTGCCAGTCCACTGCTGCAGGCAAAGGCATGCTACAAGGCGATGCACACTTGTTTTTACATCGTAAAAACCCATGTCTAGTTTCTTTTTGATTTTTCTACCTGGATTACTGAGATGCATCTGGACAGAAAGGGATGGTCTATAATGTGATGATGAAACATGCAGAACACAAAGGTTTAAACAGAAATAATGACCATAAAAGTTCACAATCACACTAAGAAGGTAAATATTATTTTTTTGCAAACCATGTCAGTTTGAAGTTTCACTTTCGTATGTTCTCTAYACAGATCATTTAGCCACGCAAAGACTCTTTCATCCAAGGTGGTTTAAGAAGGGACAGGCAAAATCAAGACGTTTTCTGGAAGCAATATGAACTTTTMGTAAATAAAGAATCTCTCCAGCAAATGAGTTTGGTCTAACTGTCACGTTCATGTACTGTGGATTTGTTGTGCATTGTGGATGATTTGCACATTCGATTTTACGGGAGATTTTACGGTGGATGACCTTCCTGATGCAACCCTCCTCATGTACTCAAGCTTGGAATCGGTACTGGTAACACTTGTGACCCCTCTTAACTGGATTACCCTATTTATTTATTTGAGAATGTGAATGGAGACGTGCCAGGAAGGTCAGAAGGAGCTGCACCGTGTCTTTGTGGATCTAGATATCATGATATGATATAAGATAAGAGACGAGGCGGTCCGGTGGTGTGAGAGGTTAGTGCAGGATGTGCTAGGACAGTGAGACAGTGGTGAGATGGGCAGTAGGAGTGATAAATGCGTTCAAGATGGGGGGTGGGATTACATCAGGGATCTGCTCTGAGCTTCTTCTCGATTTCAGTACAGATAGACAGGTTAACAGATGAGGTCAGGCTGGACCTTTCTGGACTGTGAGGTTTGCAGACGACTCTGATCTGCGGTGAGCAGAGCTGTCAAGTAACTAAGTACAAATACTTTATTACTTTACTTAAATTTGCACTTTAGTGGAGTAATTATTTTTCAGAGTACTTTTTACTTCTACTCCTTACATTTTAATTCAATTAGCTGTACTTTCTGC